AAGGACTGTTCAGTTTCTGAACAGTTGATCCTGGGAAAATAGCTGATTTTCAAAGATAGGTCTCCCTGACAACTCCCAGTTGTGTGTTAATTTATAAACATGGCATTATCTAATGTGTAGTTTAGAGGTCTAGATTTGTTATTTTATTTGAAACAGTTTCTTAGTTTTAGGTTATTAGTTACTACAGGTTTTCTGTACTTAATTTGTGTACATGTTTTCCGTACCATTTGTGTTCCTCCTTCAGACTTTCAAGATTCATTTTTTAGTCCTACTGTTTGTTTAGATGCACTTTCACTTTACATTTTTTCAAAGGTGTATACTGGACATTAAGGATCTTATTGCATATAAGGTGATACAAAAGAGTTTTGTGCACCTAAACTTAGAATTTTTATGAAACCTTAATATCTGATCTAGTAATGTCGGTAGTAAAAAAAAAAAAGCTTCATGGATTTGGAGCAAAAGTTTAGTTCTCTATATCACAAATTTTTAAAGCTCGTCTTATGGACTCTAGAAAAAGACACTGGTATTTTTGTTTGTTTGCTTGTTTCCTCCCCTTTATTTTGTGGTTCTGCTTTTAATACATTGTCTTTTGCTTCATGTTCTTCCCTGGGCTGTCAGTCTAGTCTTGATGCTGATTGTCCTGCCCTCATCAACTTACTTTTTATCCCATCATCTGCTTTCTCTTGTTTCGATTACTGTCCAGGTTTTCTTAAGTAATCAGAGAGTGGCAATCAGGAAAAGTTAAAAAAAAAAAAAGGGGGTGGGGTGGGTGGGAGTGGGGGCTGGGAGTAGGCTTAATATTGCCCCCTAGCTAGGCTTTTTTCTTACCAAGTTTTTTGATTCGGTTTTTAATATTGCAAAGGACCAAGTGCTGGCCTATTGATACCTACTACCTGTTAAGGAGACGAATTTTATGGAATTTGCTAATACTGACTTTCACTTAACCTAATATGGTGGTTGAAAGTCTTAGTAATAGAGTTTTAGGATTTTAAAAAGGGATATATGATGTTGATTGTTCTGAAGATAACTATCATATATATATTTTACTCTAAATGTTTGCTGTAAATAGTCTTCTTCATAAGCCAGGTAAAAAGCCTGTCATTCGGTGTTGTTGTTGTTGTTATGTGCCGTCTAGTGGGACCCGACTCATAGCGACCCCTCCTTGGGTTTCCAAGGCAGTATCACTATGGAAGTAGATTGCCCAACCTTCATTAAAGTTTTTTGTTGTTTTAATACACCATAAATTGTGTGGGCAACATATCACATTTTTCCTCAACTTGGAATAAAATGTTACTTGATAATTTGGTGGCTACATCTAGGTTTACTATTAGGTAAACTTGAGTACTATATCAATAAATGGAAGGCTTCTATCCAGCTGTTAGAAAAGAAAAAAAAAAAAACAAGTCAGCAAAATATCTAGATTGAGTTTAGACATAGGAGTTGTTGAATGGTGAATTTAGGAAAATTTCTTGAGTTACCAGTTCTAAAACTTTGTATCTCGGAACTGAGATTAAATTGAATTATGGCAAAGTGGTTAGCTGTTTGTTCCTTTTGCTGCTGAGATCTTAGCCAGGTTAAATTGAGCCATTCACTGCATAACATTGTTGATCACATGTTACCGGTATCAGAGCATTTGAGGGCACAGTGAGGCTTAGATGACATAGTTGCATCATACTAGATGTAAAAAGCAGTGCAGGCCAATAGCGTTCAAAATTCTTTAGCTCCTTAACTGACAACATCAAGTGCTGACAAGGATGTGGAGCAGCTGGATCTCTTATACATTATTGCTGGTCAGGATGCAAACTAGTTCAGCCCTTCTGGAAAGTTTAGCAGTTCTAATGAAGTAAAACCATATATTTACCTAAGAAGAATTAAAACATCTCCACCCAAAGACTTGTATTTGAATATTTTTAAGTTTTTATTCATAATAGCCCCAAATTGGAAATATTCCATATGTCCATTGAAAGGAGATTGGATAAACAAATTTTGGTATATAAGTACAGTGGAATAGTACTCATCAAATAAAAAGGAATTACTGATTCATGCAGCGTTATGGATGAATCTCAAAAGTATTTTGCTGAGTGAAGTAAGTCAAACACAAAAGCTACAACTCTGTATGATTCCATTTTTATGAAATTCTAGAAAAGGCAGAACTACAATGACAGCAGATTAGAGGGTAACTGCAGAGGAATAAAGAACTTTTTACAGTGATTAAAAGTTCTGTATTATGGTTGTGGTAGTCCCAAGACTGAAGGCGTATGTTGAAACTCATGGAATTTATACATTTAGAATTGGTGAAGTTTGCTGCTTATAAATTATACCTTAGTTTGTTAGTGATATATCTAAATATCAGATGTATGTTTATAAAGGTAAATTTAAAAAAGGTTTACCATGTCTTAATCCTGGAGTAGATAAGGTCTCTGTTGAAAGTATTAAATGAACAGATTTTGTTATAAGTATTCTTTTGATACATGTCAACCATGCTTGAGTTGATATTTAAAAAAAAAAAAAAAAAAAAAAAAGTGAAAGGAAAACCAAAGCAACTTGAGAAACAGCTATGTAGTGACCAAAAAGTGTTTATGTAAAGTAAATTGTACAAAAAAGTCAAGTTGCATAAAAGTCAAGTTACTCTGCCCTTGTGCCTCCTGAAGTCTTTGGTTTTGAATAAACTTGAAGATGCTTTGAATGGTAATTTTGATCAGGATGATGGTAGCTTTGAACGTGATAAAAGAATGAAGATTGCTGTGTACCACAGACAAATATCATTGCCTTTCTAACCTCTTAGAATATTGCTACAGAAAAGAGTTCTATTATTAAAAAATAAAGATATTTATGCTTGTTTTGATTGGTGTAGAATGTTGCACTGGTTTTATAAGACACTTGTGGTGACTCTTACGAAGCCCATTTATATCAAGGTACTCTTACAGCTTAATAAAACTAAAAAACCAAACTCGCTGCCATCGAGTTGTTTCCACCTCATGGCTAACCAAAATAACTTTGTTTATAAATTACAAACTATAAGGATTTACAAATACTGAAAATGACCTTAACCCATATTAAGTAAATATTAGTATTTTGAAAAATGTTATAGATTAACAGACCCCACAATCACCTGAAGTTATCATTCCATTGTTTGATTTTGTGCTTAAACTACATGTTCATATATCTATAAATGTTTGCACACAAAATTTACACAAATGCTATATCTTCACTGAATCAGTCTTTTACAACTTCTTTCCTCCTAGTTAAAGTAACAAAATTGGCAGTCTCTAAAATGTTTAAGGGATAGATTGGGTGTCCGTTTAAGAGTATATCTCTCAAAAAGCCCTAAGAGTGCTTCTCTATTAGGGAGCAGTATAAAGTGAGAAAAGAGACAAGTGAAAAATAAGTATATACCTAGGAAAATCACCAGTGTTAAATTGAGAAAAGGATTGTTACTTTACATACATCTTTAGCCTTCAATTGAGTTTTCATTTCTTAAGCATCATTGTAGAATCTAATATCTATTGTACCTATGAATTTTTTTATTGCCTATTGCCACTTTAAGGAGCTCTGGTAGCATTGTGCCTAAGGCACTTGACTGCTAACCAGAAAGCTGGCGGTTCAAACCCACCAGCCACTCCTCGGAAGGAAGGTTGGGCAATCCTACTTCCATAGTGATACTGCCTCGGAAACCCAAGGAGGGGTCGCTATGAGTCGGGGCCGACTCGACGGCAAATAACAACAACGACAACAACATTGCCACTTTAAAGTTTCATTTGTCTAATCTTGCTTTGGATTGAGATTAGTAAAGTTAACTTTCTGGGATTTAGGTTCAGAAGGATAACATTAATTTAGGAGATTGGTGTGTATGTGAAAGTCTTTGTGAAAAAGTGGAAGTCTCAGGAGTTTTTTGGAGAGCTCAGATGATGACTGGAATTAGAAGTCTTTCTAAAATGAATCATTCTGCCTCAGGGATATATACTGGACACAATTTCACCCCCATTTTGATGGTTGTGGGTCAAGATAATTGCATTGGCTAGCCAAAATTCAGCTGTTCAAATCTACCATTTGCTCCATGAGAGAAAAATGTGGCAGTATGTTCCATAAAGATTTACAGCCTTTAGAAACCTGATAGGACTGCGGCAGTTGTCCTGTAGGGTCACTATGAGTCAGAATCGCCCCAAATGACAATGCGCTGGTTTGGTTTAATGATGTAGTATTGGTTACCTATTAGGCACCAGTCATTTTACATGGATCTCTCCTCATCCACTATTCTTGGCTGTAAATGCTGTAATATTCTCAGATTCTGTTGAGCTTAATTAATATTGATAGCCATGACCCCTTAATATATGATAATATTTTTTTAGCTCCTATCTATTGTATCATTTTGCTGACCTATTGTCACTTCTTACTGGTATTTGCTTGAATACACATAACATAGTCTTAACCCTTTTATCTGTGGGCTTTGGAAGAGCCTTTTCTAATATTTCTAGTGTATGAAGAAAAAAGATTTGAGTTGGGGACTGTTAATAATCTGAGTAAAATGTGTATTGTAGTGCACAGACTCCTTGACCTTTATTTTGAATGAAAACCCTTTTAATTTTTTTTAAACCCTTTAAATTTATTTTTTGCTTATCAGTGCTCAACAGTAGCTCAATTCAGGTGGTGTGTATGTGCTATTTCAGAATGTGTGCCCCCATTTATGCAGAAACTTAATTCCTCCCAGAATGTCAGTTTTCTGTATATTATTTGCAGGGAGAATATTTTGGGTAGATATGTTCTACTAGGGAGCTCTGGTAGCATAGTGGCTAAGGCACTTGGCTGCTAATCAGAAGGCTGGCGGTTCAAACCCACCAGCCACTCCTCAGAAGGAAGGTAGTGATACTGCCTCAGAAACCCAAGGAGGGGTTGCTATGAGTGGTCCGACTTGACGGCACATAACAACATGTTCTAAATAATTGTTGAAACTCAATCTTGAAGGTTTTGTCTTGCCAAATTTTAACATTTTTTTCTTTCAGAACAAATTCTGTACAATATAAAACAAGAATATAAACGCATGCAGAAGAGAAGACATTTAGAAACTAATTTCCAACAGACAGATCCATGTTGTACTTCTGATGTACAGCCACATGCATTTCTCCTCAGTGGACCATCTTCACCAGGTAATAATTAACTTTGTAAGTGAAAGTGAATGTTATCCAGTACAGGGAATGTGTAATCCAAGTTAACTTTAGTCTTTTAAGCTCCTTTAACTCCCCCTAATTATAATGTGTGTGTGTGTGTGTGTGTGTGTACCTATACATATACGAGTAATGGCATACCTGTTTATGTTGTTGCTGTTGTTACGTGCCTTTGAGTCGGACCCGACTCAAAGCAACCCCTCCTGGGGTTTCCAAGGCAGTATCACTATGGAAGTAGATTGCCCAACCTGCCTTCCAAGGAGTGGCTGGTGGGTTTGAACCACCAGCCTTCTGGTTAGCAGTCAAGTAATGCCTTAGGCATTACGCTACCAGAGCTCCTATAGTTTTCCCAAATAGTATTTTCTATAAATGCTGTGATTTGCAGCCTCCATTTCTTAAGTCGTAGTATTATTCCATGTACTTCTTTGTTTTAGATATACTTTGCCATGACTGGATATTATGCTGTTTTATGGATTTAACATAATTATTTAGCTGTCTGTTAGTGAGAGACTCAAAATTTATAGTATGTATGGAAATATTTTGAAATCTGCTATCATTAGAGGCTTTCTAAATTCCCGAGGAGGAATGAGAATCAAGATCAGCACAAAGCTGATTCCTATAAAGTGGAGGTCAGACATACCTCTACTCAACTTTTTCACCCTGACACCAGCCGCCCTCTGTTGGGTTTGATAATTAATTGCATTGACCATAGAACTCATCATACTCAACGATTATTTGGTTTGTTAGGGAAGGAACAAGCTACAATTTTAGAGACAGGATATAGTTGTCCATCAGGATAGCTTCCATGCAAGATGGTTATGAGCTTCCTCTCAACTGTGCCAGCTGCTGGCCCTTCTCTTGGTGCTTGGGCAAGGTTTACAGTGGAGTCTTTTGGCTCCACTAACAGGTGCCCAGAGGCACCCCCACTTACCTCATTTTTAAATACAATCAGCAAGCCTCCTGCCTGAAGGTACCCAGCTCTTTTACTCTGTGAGTTGGCAGTCCCACTTGCAGCCACTTAGTGCCCGTCTCTTGGTTCCTGCCACTGGTGCTGCTGTTGTTGCAGTCTTAGGCCTCTGACACTGTCTCCAGTGTTATAGCTCTCCTGCATCTAGGAGGTTCTCAGCATAAGGACCTAGGTCCAAAGGGCATGCTTCTCTCTTCTTGATGGTAGTGAGGGCCCCTCAACTTCTGTGGGAGATTGGCCCTGTTATAAGCATAGCAAGATGGCAAGACTGACCAATTCCCTTGGTAAACCACAGTCACTTAATTGCATAATAATTGACCAATTCTCACAAGGTCCCTTAATCCTAATCAGTGGTTTTATGCACCCTATTTGCATAGAAGACTAACCAAACCTTTGCAATATTGTGGCCTAGCAAATCTTTTTGGCAGAGCCACAAACCCAGGACCAGAAAGGCGATACATAAATAAGAGAAACCCATTGAAGTGTGATCCCTGTATATACACATACCGTCACATACTTGTCCTATTAGTAGAGATTCCTAAAAGTGGATTTTTGATCCTATAGCTGTTTTGTACCTTCCTTTTGTTAGAGGGAGTGGTTTGCAAGTACTTTTTAAAGCAGAAAAGTTGAGGACTGAAGTGAAAGGAGAGGAAAATTGAAGAATAGCTTCTTGCTGACAAAGGACCCATCAGACGTTGCTCTTACTTTCAGTAAAGTTCTCAGCAAAATATTTTTTCTTGTGATAGTCATTGCCTGTCTATTTTAACTTGCTTTCCTTCATTTTCTTCAGGAAAATGTAGCAGAACAATGACAAAATATTCATTCATTATCCGTGAAACAGTCAAATAAAATTAGATTAGGAAACAAAACTTCATAAAACCACTACAGTATTTTTAAATAAGACCATCCATATATAATAATAATAGAGCTAACACGGAGCATAAAAAAAAGAAGAAGAAGAAAGAAAATGCTACAGTACTTCTGCTTATTTTGGGGCTAGATGTATAAGTGGGTGATACATGGTATAAGGGGTGGGAGATGAGGGTGAGTTAAGACAATCAGCAGGAAATCAAGACCATTATTATTCATTAATACTTCACAGAAGATCAGTTAAATGGCAACTTCAGTTAAATAAGCTGGGAATTTGAAAATAAGTAAACATAGCCTTAGTAGCTATGGACTAAAGTTGGTACACTATTCTTACAGTAGACACAGTTCTAACAAGGGTAGTTAACTGCCCTAGCCATGGCAGGTTATAATAATCAAGTCAAAAGCGAGGACTAGAGGGTACCAGAGGCAGATACATAGAACAAAATAAGTGTGTGTGGGTATGTGTGTAAAATAATTGCAGCAATGTTTTAATGGATAAATGTTTTACAATCCTGAGTTCTTAAAAAGTTAATTTCAGATGTTCTTGTTTTAAGACGTAGGGAATGATGATTTTGGAAAATACAAGTGCCTTAAGTAGTACTTGAAGACTGTATTTCTGAAGAAATCTTTTTATATGGCGTATCTCACTATCTCATAATGCCAAGTGGCTATAGGTTATTAATCTTTAAGAACTCTTAACGACAAAATTTAAGTGTTGTATATTAGGTATAGGAGCTCTAGTAGTGTAGTGCCTAACACATTTGACTGCTAACCAGAAGGCTGGCAGTTCAGACCCACTAGCCACTCCTCAGAAGGAAGATGGGGCAATCTACTTCCGTAGTGATACTGCCTCGGAAACCCAAGGAGGGGTCGCTATGAGTCGGGTCTGACTCAGCGGCACATAACAATATTGGTTATATTTTTGTCAGGATTTTCTCTTCTCTTTTTTCACAAAGTGGTCTCTTAGTTAATACAGAGATAATGTTTATTAGGAAAAAAAAGGTACTAAACTGAAATAATGATCAGTGTTCTTTCCTTTAAGAGATCATAGAAAAGTGCATTCTCATAGATACCTGCTTCTTGTTATGTGCTGTCAAGTCAGACCCGACTCATAGTGACCCCTCCTTGGCTCTCTGACAGCGTATCACTACGGAAGTAGATTGCCCAACCTTCCTTCTGAGGAATGGCTGGTGGGTTTGAATCACCAGCCTTCTGGTTAGCTCTCTAGTGCCTTAGGCACTACTCTGCCAGAGCTCCAAATATTGTTTTATTAATTAAAAAATTCCTTACATGTATAAAAATACTTGCCCAAGGAAATGTCTTTGCTAATTAACTAATGAAATTGACAGACAATCTAGCTCCTTTGGAGTTAAGTTGCTTTAGGACTCTTAGTGTGATAACAGTGTAGTTATATGACATATAATTTAGAGCCTATCATTAATCAGCTTAATACCTGAGCATTACAGAAATGCTGCTATTAATTCAAAGGGAATTCATGCCAATGTGTTAAAAAATTTATAGAAAAAATTTATACTCCTTCAGCAAAGGATGAGTATCTAGATTACTAGAATGTTTTCAAGAGTAAATATCTCTTAAATGGGTTCATATTGTACACATTCTTCCCTAATTTACCTTAAACATAAAGGTTTTACTGTATCAACATGTAATCTAGTTTCCTCTTTTTTAAAGAAGGAAAACTCTTTAAAAATTTAAGATTTTAGGAAATGGGGAGAGTGTTGCAGTGCTTAATCTACTGGTAGATTAATCCCTACTTTATTGTGGGCTGTTCGGATGTTATAGCTTTGAAGTATAGCAGTGTCTTCTCACAGGCATAAATATCATTTGTTATTCTAGGGCCAAATAAAATTAAGCTTTAGACCAGAGATGTTCTTTATTTCTACCATAGGAGAATTAGTCACTAAAACAGTGGTGGTACAGTGGTTAAGACATTTGGCTGCTCACCAAAAAGCCAGTGGTTTGAACCCACCAGCTGCTCTGTGGAAGAAAAATGAGTCATTCTGCTTCCATAAAGATTCATAGTCTTAGAAACCCAGTAGGGGTTGCTGTGAGTTGGAATTGACTCAGTGGCAGTGAGTTTGAGGGTTTTTTTTTTTTTTGAGTTTGGTAAAGCACTGTGGTGTGTTACTTGTCAGGATGGAGATGGGAAGTAATGGGAGCCATCATTGTAATATTTCTTATAAGTTTGATGTTCTAAAATTTTAAATTTCTCTTCTCACCTTCAGACTATTTAACAGTTTCTGCTTTATTTTTTTATTACATTTTGGTATGACCTTCCAGAGTCACAAGCTAATAGAATTAAATACTATAAATATCTTTTAAGACTCCTGGGGAAATGCTGTGGTGAAAACTGATAGAAAATGCTTTTATATGTACATTAAAAAGATACAAATGAAATCTTCCAAGATGCTTTCTATGATGGCTGTGAATCGGGTATATATTTTTTTATTATTATGTTATATATAGGGACGTCATCTGCAACATCCTCACCATTAAAAAAAGAACAGCCTTTATTCACTCTACGGCAGGTTGGGATGATCTGTGAGCGTTTGTTGAAAGAACGTGAAGAGAAAGTTCGAGAAGAGTATGAAGAAATACTGAACACAAAACTTGCAGGTAAGAGATGAGTTTATTTTAGTGTTTCCCAGACATAATCAAATTACTCTTTTTGTATACTGGTCCAGTATTTTCTAATAACCAGAGAATTTCAGTTTATGAAAGAAATGAACAGCGCTGGAGCTCATGACCTACCTTTAGTGACCTCAAGAAAGAGCATTAGCTAGCCTCGTAAAACAGCAACAGTAAGAGTGACCTAGATTTTTCTCTTGATGTCTCTGTGCTCAATAGATTTTAGCTATTTACCTCAAATTGGCTGTTTATTTTTGGACTTTCAATCTTTCATGATAACTTAGCTATCAATCTGGGCATTTGAAATACACTGGGTACTGTGTATATCCCTTCAGAGTATCAAACTTTAGTTTTATTATTATAGGACATTTGGGATTAATACCTTTTTACATAATTTAAAGTGTGTGTAACAAGTAACATTGATGTATGGTAACTTAATCAGAATGTTTAAGTTTTCTAATTTTAAGACTTGGATTTTACTGAATATAGATATTACAAGCTTTTGGATTCGTAGAGAATTAAAATTAAGGTGTATAATATAGACAGTGGAATGTGCTTAGCTCTACAGTGTATTTTCCTTTTAACCTAGTATTTTTTTCTGGCATCTTGATTAGGTGACAGGAGAATGTTTTTGAATATTATTTCATTAAGCTTTCTTTGCCCTGTTTTCCCTCATTGTAGTAAATTATTTTTTTTTTTATTGTGACTTGGGTGAAAATTTACAGAGCAAATTCACTTTCCATACAGCAGTTCATATACATACACTTTGTCTCATGACATTGACTACAATTTACCACAATGCAACA